CTTGAATAATATGTTTATCCTTATCGTCCTTTATCAAGCAGATATCTGCGATCTTCTCCATATCTAATGGCCAATGATCGACTACATGAACAACAACGGCGAAAAAGCTGTGACGTTTATCTTGAACACCAATGTTAATTAGAACAACATCACATAAAGCAAGCTTTGGAAGTGTTCGATTAAATAAAAGATCAGTTTGGAAGAAATATGAACCAAAAATCAACATGGTATTCACGGATGGTTCAGATGGATCGGCTGTTTGTGTAGTTTCTGGCACATATTTCATGATTTGGATTTCAATGTCGCCATCAATACGGAATAAGGTTTCGGACGTCATTGACTTTATATCATGCTTGATATTTTCCCATAATTCGTGATAAAGAAGAGGTATGAAGCACTTTTCATACCGTCTTTGTGCAGTTTCGACATCAAAATCAAGCTCATCTGGTGAATTATCTACAACAAAAATTCTCCGTTATATTTAAAAATTTTTCACATTTATTACCAAATATTTGTGGTACACATAATAAATGTTCTGGTGTCAAGCTTTTATGCAAAACAGAGCTAGTTATAAACGTCTGAGTTAAATAAACTGGCATCCATCGAGTAACGATGCGATCAAATAGACGTCGAATGCCAGAATGTACTCGAGCTGACCAAAGCGGTCGTTGGGATGACATTTGGGAGTCTTTTTCTCGTGATTCTGATATGCCATAGTCAAAAAGATACAAAGCTGTTATAAGTCTTTGCTTGAATGTGTATAAAATACGTGCCTTAATCCACTGATGACGAGTCTGAGGATCTTCGCATTTCACTTGAAACCATGTTCTAGCCGTGTAACTATTATTCAGTCGATCTTGCAGTTCCATTATTTTTCAGTTCAAGATGGCCTAATATAATAACTAGTGTAGTAGAAAAAGTCAGAATAATTTGCTGTTCCTTGAAAAAACGTATGGCACGCGAATTAGCAGTGTGCAGCGTGAAATATATTGTTGTCGCCGATAGGAAAATGAATCGCAGAACAATAAAATTGTCAATATTTGTTGCTTCAATGTTTACCTTCTTCATGTTTTTGTGCATTTCTTTCCCTTTCTCGTGACTGCGTATGTCACTCAATACATCAATTGACGCACGTTGTTCATTTCGCAGTAACGGCAGGAATTTTCATGAATTCAGAGCGATATCTTGAGGGTGTGGGTGGGTGTGGATGTGGATGAAGATGTATTCGAATCTCGCACCGACACCCACGTCCACACCCACACCCACGCCCACACCCACCACACACCCACACCCACACCCACACCCACCACACACCCACACCCACACCCACCACACACCCACACCCATACCCACACCCACACCCACCCCACCCACACCCACACCCACACCCACACCCACCCACACCCACCCACCCACACCCACACCCACACCCACACCCACA